GCTGTCTTTAAGTGCCATGAGCCAGAAATAACTTTTAGGCAGCTGTGCAGGTAAAGCTGACAAACATAGAGCAGACAGGGGAGTCTGGGTGAAGTCTGGAGGGGTGAGGTTTGAGGAAACTGAAGGAGACAGATTTTTGATAAAGAGAATAGTGAGCACTGTCTTTTAACTGGAGAGCTGGGGAAGGCTGAAGGCATAGCTTACAGGTGATGGGCATCACCTTCAATCATAATTACCTGTCAGCATCCAGGCTGACCCTCCGCATGTTGCTGAGGGTTATGAGTGAATAATGACAACATGGACACAAAATCCATGAACCTGAGCCTGGGACGATGTTCAGATGGGATGGCGTGACTCACAGGAGCTATTGGTAGTATCTGTTTTAAACTATGCAAATCTGAGATCTGCTAACTGAGAGCAGAGTTACATATGGTGCCTTCCAGGTCCATACATCCAGTTCAGAGACAAGAAATGTGAAGAGCTGTGATGCAGAGAATCTGCTTTGAATTATCAGTTGCTCTTTGATTTGACTGTGGTTATGAGCATGCTAACTTTAGGTGAACTGGTGAGTTGTGCTTGTAGTTTAGTAAAGAATGAAATTTCAAGTGTAAAATATCCACACAGGGATAAGTGTCTGCCTGAAAATTTTGAGGGAGAAAGGGGACAAAAAATCCTGGAACTCTTACTGGTAATTTAGCCTCTTAATTTGAGATTACCATTTTACTTTTACATATATATATATATATATATTTATATATATATATATATATATATATAAAAGCAAGACAAACCGCTGAACAACTGTCAAGAATTGAAAAACTGAATGCAATAAGAAAATCCATGTTGTGTGATGGATTCAGTTAAGCATCTTCAGTAGACTCCTAGAACAGGACACGTGTTTTCTGCAGTGGCCTGGCGCCACCAGCACCAGGCACTTGAATTTGTTTTTCTTTAAGAGCAGCTCAGCTGTCTTGGAATCTGGACATTTTGAGACATAAAGTTGTATTTCTCTAGCATTTAGTATTGTGTCCTAACATAAAGGTTTTGCGAAAACAGTGGTATAAGCTGTATAAGCAGTAGTTAAGAGTTGTGAAAATGATCAGGAGTGGAAGTGGTCATTTTGCCCAGTTACACCATTTATAGATACACTTAGGAGTAAAGGAGGAAGAATGTTTTTTTCATCAAGTCAGAAGGTAGTAGTTAGCTCCTGTGCGGTACTTTTAAACTTTTAATTTCAGGATTCTCTGGAAGAGCTCAAGTTCTTCACTGTGACTCACCTTAATATCCTATACATGTCCAATGTAAAGAAAAATAACAATTAGAAATCAGGAATAATACACAGTTTCCAGACAAATCCACCCAGTCCATGGACATCTTCCCTTTCCTTACAGCATGCTGGAAATGGGCAGAGCCATCAGACAGGGGTTTCTTCATGTGCCATCTAGGGCTAGTTGAGGAATATTCCATCCCAGCTCTATGCATTCTCTCATCCACTGCTTCAGGAAGGAGGAATGCCAGCACCAGGCTGCCTTTGTCATTCCAGCAGGAGCTGTTGGTTACCCTTGCTGGTTTGGAGTGCTGGAGGCTGGTGGTCCCTGGGATGGTCACAGAGGCTGTTTGCTGCATCCACAACCTGCAGCTGGTTAATCTGCAGTTGGTATGAAATGCCTTGTTGGAGTAGTCCAGTGAAGACATGCTGGGTGGCTTCTGTGGAGAACTTGACCCAGAATACTACCCCACTGATGCAAACTGGAAAAAATCCTGCAGAAGGGAGAAGTTTCTGCTATGATGCTGTGTGTACAGGACAAACACTAGACTTGAAGAGCTATATAATTTGTGTAGCTAGAAGAAAAACTTATAGAAGGCATGCTGTGGTAGACATTTTTAACCATTGTCATCTGGATTTTCATTTTAATAATGACACTATGATATGACTAACTCAAGGAAAACAATAAACAGCCTTTTTATTTTTACAAGATTTCTCTCAGTAGGTGGCTAAGCCAAACAATTGCTTTACAGCAAAGACAGAAGCAGAAGTTTAATGCAAACACTGCAGTGTATTTAAATGGTAAATGCTTAACTTCCCCACAAGGGAAATCTTTTTGCTATAGTAATTTTCACAGCTTCCTCTTCCATAACCAGCAAACTGAATAATACTGGAGCTGGAGGGCCTGATTCTCTTCTAATTAACAGTGGTGTTAATGCAGGTACAAGTTCATTGACTTCAATAAATAGGCATAAATGAAAGAGCTGAATATGTCTTGGGGCAGAGAAACAGTAGACAAAGTAGATTTGCATATTAAAGAAGCCACATATAAGGATCTTTGTTAATATTGCAAAGGGTCCAGTGGAATCATTTCCTATCCTGAACATATTAAAGGCTCCTGCTGCAGCCTGTGAAGGAGATCCTCCCCTCTCTCTGCAGGATGCAGTGGCTCTTTCAGATTCTGGATATTAGAACTGGCAGTATTTCAAGAGAGTACTTTGTGATTAACAATAGGTTTCACTGATGACACCAACAGCTGCGGTCTGTGGAGCAGGGGTACCACTGACAGCAGCGTAGGCTTTCTCTGTGTGGCAGTACAGTTTAGGACTGCCACCTTCTACAGTGCTCCCAGCAGTATAGTGTTTAGTGAATTGTACATTACAGTGGCTGTCTGTAAACAAAAGCATCAGTTAATCATAAAATTAATGCCGTGAAAATTAGTCTTGCTGAATGTAAACACCAACGGTTTAACATCCATGTTGGAGCTAGTCACTGAGACTCTTTTTGTAGTCGGTGGAGAGAAAAAAAGAGTTGAGTTCATCTCATCCTAAAGCAGGTTTCTCAAAGGTCAGCTGAACTGTGATCCAGATGTACCTATTAGGAGTGTTGGGGATGGTGCCTATGATGTTCCAGTGTAGGTTGCCGTGATACGTGTCTGAAGTTAGGCAAGGTGAACCCTGCTGTACAAGCTTCTCACATCCCTGCAAAGGTGAAAATTCCCATTTGGCTTACAGCCTTCCCCGTTGTAACATAAATTACATGTAACTCCCGGAAGTTGTTTTGTTTGGGGGTTTAGTTTGGTTTGTTTTTTGTTTTTTTCCTAGAAATTGTCTGGCAGGATTGGTTGCATCTGGGTTTTCTAGGTTGTCCTTTTGTTCCAAATCATTTACAAAACTTACTGTCCTGGATTTAGAAGAGATTCTGCTTGACATGTGACTGAGTTATCCATTACCAGGTGAACAAATACCAGTTAAGCGACATCTGTGATAGGAAGACAATAAACACACCTCAGTTTCCTGCCATTAAAAAAAAAAAAAAAATCTGATGGAGTTTTCTATTACCACTGGTGCTATGAGGAATCTCTTCAAAGCAAGTTCAAATTTCTTAGTTGAATGGTAAAATAGGAGACGCTAGAAGCCCTTTGAATCTGACAAGCTTCACGTAAGGCTTTAAATTAGTGATGAATCTTCCCTGAGAGATATTCAGAAAGTAAAGGGTTAAATATTTTTTTCATGTCACTTGTTTTGCCATTTTGAAGAAAAATATTTATAGTAAATTCATATACAATATCCAGGTAGTTATAACCTTCATGCTAAAGTTAAAGAGCCTTTGCTTATGTTAAACGCTAAGCACATGAATAATACTTCAGTTATTTGGAAAGCCACTTAAGTAAGATGAGAAGATTGTGTACAAAACCAGTATGTGAACTACTGGCTAGATGGGTGTAATGAATGAAATTATGGACAAACATCGTAATGGATTACTTAGGTGGGTGTATTATGTATGTCCATTTCTCAGAATTTTCCCTGCTTCCCCCTAGTAAACCAGAGGAGCTTCCTGGTGGCCTTAAACTTCAGAAACAAATTCTCGTTCTTATGGTCCTGTCCTAAGCAGATACCTACATAGTATCTACTTATACATAGTGAACAGAGAAAAGCATCTGAATCCCCAAAGGAGCTGGGTAGTTGATTCTGGGAAGAGTGCTCTGTGCTGAGTTCCTTACACACTGAAAGACAGGTGGAATAAATTGACCAACCATTCATGTTGCACATATGCTCGCTAGTGGTGTTCTTAAATTCAAGTGGTTACGAGGGCCATGCTTCATGCTGGCTTTGTCCAGATGTCAGGCATTTTCTGATCTTGCTTACTGTATCGTGCCTCATGAGGTTTTCTGGTGTGCAGTGATCTGTTCAGCCATCTCAGGTGAACTGGATAAAGGAGTAGATGTGAGGATACTCAGTTCTGTCTGCATCATGCTGGATATGGGTAGCATTAGCAGTCAAGGGGTTCAGATAACTTTGCATGCAGAAGGGCAAGTATCAACAGCCTCTGAGTGGTCTAAGCAATTAGGCAATGCTTTTGTGGCTTGCACCCCTGCATCCTAACTCTCCTAATTCCATCTAAACTATATTTTGGTTGCTTTGGTATATTTGTGGATCTGGACCTATTATCATCTGCCTTGAGCAGAGAACTGTGCTGAAACCAGTACAGCTGGGTAGACCTTGGTCATGGCAAGGCATCACTATATTTTCCTGTGAGCTTAAGAACAAAACCAACAGAAAAAGATACTGAATATATATTCAATATTTGGAACGGTTAAACAGTCTATTGAAAATCCATGTAATGTCTTTGTGATTCAGGGGGAGGCCAAGTATTTTTTTAGAATAAGAAAAACGTTAGACCAGAACTTCTTTTCTAATTTAAGATTTGGATCATCATCCTTCTGCAGTACAGTATGCAGCTATCTTTAAATAAAAGAAGCTATCTATAGAAAGCAGTCTGGCTGTGAAAGGAGAAAGGAGCTCTTGCAGCACTCTGTTGCTGTAGCTCAAGTCATGTTTACGAGCCTTTTCCTGCAGGGAGGTGGATTCTGTGTTCTCTTTTTCATGGTACCCACAGCAGGAGTTAAGGTGTGTGTACTTTAAAGCTTTAGCTTTTGAACGTGGTTGGTAGCAGCGCCTACTTTTGATTTGTGGAAGTCATCTCGAGGTGTCTTTTTTTAAAAGAGTATTTGTTCAATACATATTGAACGGACTGCAGAAACACAAGACGACCAAGATGATGAATCAAATTGAAGCCCTGCCAAACTAAGGGATTTTTGAATACATGGGTCTGAGTACACCCTCTGTGCCTTTAAAAAATGTAAGCAACAAATAATGAATGTCCCTGAAGATCTGGGTAGCAGGAAAGAAGGGGAAAATCATCTTAAAATGGTCTTTTTGCTATACTGATTCCTTCAGCAATAAACTGCTCTTCGTGGTGTTTTAGGAACACGAAGGCGTTCTCCCTCCGACAAGTTCATTAAAGACCTGAAATGTGGAAGGCTGTGGCTGATGTCCTGCTGAGGGCCAAAGTCCCTGGAGGCAGGGCCTGCTGCCTGTGGCCGGCTCAGAAGGGCAGGAGCCTGCTCCCCTGGAGCACTCAGCATCGCTGGCGGGGCCCCGCGCTGGGGCTGTGCACCGCCCGGCCGCTCAGCATGAGCCCCGGGATACAGAAGGTGGAACCGCTGGACATGGGTCACGTCGTCCGTGTGGAGTGGGAGGACGGGAGCGAGAGCCACTACCCCTGCGTCTGGCTGAGGGACAACTGCCAGTGTCCCCACTGCTTCCTGCGCTCGGCCCGGGCGCGCAGGCTGCTCTTCGAGGACCTGGACGTGAACATCGTGGTGAAGGAAGTCGCTCTGGCAGATAGAAAAAAGGTATGAGAAGCTAACCGTCATTCGCCTTCTTGTGAAACTTGTCTAGAAATGCTTGTTAATCTGTAAAGTAGAGGCCATCCCGGGTTATACCGTAATCGTAATTTGTTTATCTGCAAACCCCACCGCGTATTTGCAAAGCTTTTAAAAATAATCACAACTTGGGGAACTGGGATGTTCCCACCTTTATATGAAACTTCACTTTATAGATGTTACGCAGAAACCCAGGCTTTGGTTTTTAGAATATAACTGTGCTTTTTAAAATTCTGCTGTATGTTTCTTCATGACCAGATGTTGAAAATAAAATATAGGCATTCCCCACACATTTAATTACACTTATACTTCTTTTTCCTCTTTATTCTATAAGTAAATGAGAAAAGCAAATGGCAAAGTGATGATGGCCTTAATCCATAACAAAAATATCAGTTTATGAGCTAATTTCCAATGTGCAAAAAACCATCTTAGAGAAGCACTCAAACCAAACCTTTGAACCCAATATTCAGAGTTGGCCCAGTGTCTGTGCCTGTATCTACATAACTACATTAACATTTGTTCATGAAAAAGAGGAGGCTATTGGGCAAGAGAGGACAGGAGCTGCCCTACCTATGGATTTCAATCTTTCCTGCCATATAAAAACCTAATATATCATTTAGATTTCATAGGGTTTATTGGAAACAATACATGGGTCCTTTTGATGTGCAAACTCATTTCTTTCATTTTACACTTAAAGATGTTTTAAACATGTTGAAGATGCAACAGTTAACCGTGTAGCAGCTGGGGCAGCCTCACTGCAGGGTGAGTTTGCAGAGGCTGACCTGTGCAGAAGCCTGGCTTATGGTCTCTGGTGAAATTCTGGGCCCCCCCAGTTGATTGTTACCAAAGTTAATGCCTTGTACATTTATGCTTTGAATAGGCAAATGTGTTATGATAGTAGAGAGATTGTCTGCTTCCACTTACACTCAGGAACTGATGAAAGCACAGAACTAATCCTAAACTGATACGGGTCATGTCATGTGAACGAGCAGAATTCTGTGAAATGGGAATTGATACCCATTGAAATGGGAATTCAGCTGAGAGTGTGTGCTGCACTGAGCTCTTTCAGTTCATGACAAGCAAAGCCATATGCTTTCCTTCAGTGTTTTTTTCAGAAAATAAAAAAACCCAAAACAATACCTTATGAAAATCTGTATGAAAGAGGGAAGACTTTTCAAAACTAAGAGAGGAATTTCTCTCCTAGCTTTTCTTGTTTGCCTGTCTGTCTTGTCCTTCTTCTTTTTTAACAAGCTGTCCGTGTTTTGGAAGATATTTTTGCTCTCTTCTGAGTTGTGGTGAAGTGTTCTCCTTGGTAATACGTGTCAGGTTCTGTGATTCTCCTCTTTCTGCTAAGCACAGCTCCCACAGTGAAAGCAGCCCACACAAAAGAGCAAATTAGGTCACATGGGTTCATGTGAAAATAACCATTTATAAAAGGTGTCAGAATTTGGATGATGTTCAAGTTGGGTTTGCATTTCTTTGCCATTATGCTCTGGGGAAAGCTTAACTGTGATATTATTGATCTAAATATTAAAATTTCTGCAATTTGTAAGGGATTTTTTTTTTCTAGATGGTGGGGTTTGGAGGTTTTTATACTAAAATTATCTTTTGTTTTATGTTGGAAGATCTCTATTACATGGCCCGATGAACACGCAAGTGAATATGAAGCCGAGTGGTTGAAAAAACGATGCTTCTCTGAAGGAGCCAGAGCAGAAATGCAAGAAGATTTGTTTTTACCAGGTAGGAATTCAAACCACATCTGTCATGCTTGTTTCAAATGCAAGGGGTGTGACCCTGGCAGTCCCAACGAGAGGTCCCTGTGAGAGGACCAGGTCCTTCACCGAGAGCTGGAGCAGCAGCAGCCGCTCCTGGTGCTCAGGGCAAGGCTGTGTATGCTCGACAGGAGCCTGTGGTTACCCTTTCCCTCTCCCAATCTCTGGATATGAGAGGACTTCAACTGGTTGGGCTGCGTTTACTTTCATAAAAGCCTTTTCTTTCCAGAAAGTGTTAGTAGGTCTCAAAAATGAGCCTTGTGGACATTGTGGTCTATGTAACAATGCAAGTGTGTGTGTGCTCTTTAATTGATTTAAATTCTTATTTTTATAGAGATTATTTAGAATTGTAAGGGAGGTATAACTGAAATAAAAAATTTTCCCTTTCCATGGCCTTTTGTTAAAAATTAACTGTGTAGCCTAGCCTACTAGTGTCTAGTAGTAAAGTTCAGGTTGTGTTTGCTCTGCGTCCCATACTTATTGCTGTAGTTGACTGTTTTTTGGTCATGAAGCATTTTGTGCAACCAGCAGTGTAACATTTACCCAGTACAAATTGCTCACCCTTTTGAGTGAGTAATTATAAACCCACTAGGTTTGTCATGATGCACATCATTTCTTTGGCAGCCTTTCAGATTGTAAGCATGAAAAGTGTGAAAACTTGCAAGACTTCTGCTGTTGCTCTTGACTGTGTTTCTGTGAGATCTGCTGTTGCAGAAAGTTGTGGATCTGTGTCCAGAGTTAAGGCAGTACCCATTAAAACAGTATTATTACTTTAGAAAAAAGTAACTAGAGGCAGGCTGATGGTGTGAGACTCGGATCCAGGTATCAGTTTCGTTAGAGCTCAGCAAAATCCACGAATGGTTTTATGCCCTTTTGTTTTATGGTGATTTTTACTCTAACAAACAAAAGAAAGTTTGTTTGGTTGTTGGTTTTTTTCCCCTGAAAGGTGAGAAATGGGAAAATATATGGCCCTAGATATCTCTTGCATCTGAGCTTTGTTTGGCACTTAGGGACAACTGAAGGGACCAGTTATCTTTCCCAATTTCTGCAGGTCAGATATTCCTTAGCTTCTAGCATCCGTTCTCCTACACAAAAGCCAGTTCTTAAGATTCAGCCTTTTCTATCTGGCTTAAAACTTAAGTGATGAGTAATATTTCCATTCATTTCAGTGTGTCATATAACAGATTCTTCGTAGTTCAGAATGGAACTGTTTTCCCTTTAGTGATATAAAAGTTCATGTCTGCTTAGCTTTGACAAGAGTAAACGACACTGTTTACTATTTTGGAGGGTTGGGCACGTTCCCAGAATGAACGTGGTGAAGATGCAAACCTCATTCAGGGAAACTAGACTTGGTTTCTCAGGTAGTAAAAATTTGTGTTTGGGAAAATGAAGACACTGTGGAAGCTAGCAAAGTGCTTTGTAGCCTTTGAGGGGATCAGTATAAATTAAACGTTGCTTTAATTAGTGCCCAGGCAAATTAGTCTAGATCTCTGGTTATGTAAAGGTATCAATAACTAAGATTTCAATATTTCAGAGGTAATGCTACTTGTTCCCCCATTTTGAAGTCTGACTGGCTGATTTGCCTTCGTATGCACACACTTAACGTGGTGCTTACTCTCAGCATCTAAATACAATGCTTGTTTTGGAGGCCAGTTCTTCCCTCTGCTACCGCTCTTCATCAGTGTAAAATATACACCAAATAAAGGATTTATTCTTTGGGCAATGCTTTTGCAAATTCTTTTTTTTTTTTTTATGGTGGATCTGAAGAGATACGTTTATATAAGTTAACGCTAAATAATGGCTTGCATTAACTTTGGCTTTGTTTAGTAGTGTCCTTCTGCGTTTCCTCATGTTCCCAGAGAAGACCTGGCTCATGGTGATGGGCAGCTTCTCCCAGGTTTCTCAGGTTTCAGCTGCAAAAAGGGCCGCAGTTACAAAGCATGTGAGTTTGCTGGCTGTTTAAGACCTCTTTCTCCTTGTGTATCGGAGTAAGTTTAGAATTTGCTTCTTTCTGGTCAGTGGAGTTACACACTGCAAATTACATGCCCTTAAGTAACTAATCATATCCCAGCAGTATAGGATTACTGACGATGATATGGAACGCCAGTCTTGCGTGCTGGTTCAACAAATAAAAGAGCAAGCTGACCAGACTGCTGTAGTTAGAGGTTAACCTTCGCTGCTGACATTATCACAGTTGTGGCTCTTTTTTCTTCTTTTTTTTTTTTTTTCAAGTGGTTATTTGCTTTTCATGTTGCTTTTATGATGTTTTTTCATCATAATTTCTGATTCAAAAAAATAGATGTCATGTATGTGTCAAACCCGAAAAGAAGAGTAGGTCAGATTTTCTCTGCTTGATGGAAGTGACTATAAATAGCTCTGTGGCAGTATATCAACATTCCCCTTTTAGAAACCCTGGCAGATCCTATCTGTGTAGTATTCAAAGTCCACTATTTGTGTGTATCAAGATTTGTTTCAGCCCAGTTTACAAGATATTTCCAAAAGAGCAGCCAAAGAGCCATCTGCTGCTTCTCCAGCTCCGATATCTCCAAGATACTCTTTTTTTCCCTCCTGTTTACTTGTGTTCTCCACAACAAACATCACAGGAGTGATTTAACACCTCATACAGTCTCTCTGTAACTCAGATTTTGTGTGTGGTAGAGGAATCTTGTGGGAGACACTGAGTACATCAGGTGCTTCCCAGCCTCTCGCTGCATTGCATTGTGTTTGCTGAGGCTGGTTTTCCAAGATGCTGACATCCCAGGGGGGGGGGGGGAGAGGATTAAATAATATCACAATTATGTTTTCCTATTGGGTGAAGCAGAGGAAGACTCAGCAGAGGTAGTATCTGGTGCTATTTTATATTTTTAACCTTAGGTTAGGTTAAAGTTTTAACCCAAGGTTAAAGGTTGTGGATGATGATTGTTCTTTAAAATGTGATAGTATGGTATTGGATATCTATCCAGCTCCACCAAAGTTTGAAGCAGGATGTTAACAGCATCAGTGGTGCTCTCAGCTTATCTACTAAGTCCTAAGAGATGATAATTTTAAGAGGAAGAAGTTAAAAGTTATTTTTTACTAAGAGTTTGGTCATTTGAATTTATCCTGTAGTAATAATTAATAAGAGCAGCCCCCCCGCCCCCATGAGTTAGACTGCCGCATACATAATTCATAATACAGCACAAATACACTTGGCCTTGAACAAACATTAAAACACACGTTGTAGACAAAATAATTTTAGATGGAGTTAATCTATGATGTCTAGACTTTCTTTCCCACATGACTCCAGTACAGGTTTTGACCATCATTGTCCCAACCTGCATAGTAAATGCTGAATATTTCCAAGTGTTTGCTGATGCATGCACACCACCTGCAGGAACTGGGCAAAGGCCATCTTCTCATTTTGTGCAGACTCTAATATAGGTGGCTTTTTTTGACTAATCTGGTATGATCAAGAAATAGGATTCATTTTTTTCTGCCCCCTGCCCCGAATTATTGTTCTGAAATTAGAAGAGGCAGTGACTCATTAATTCTTTAAAAAGTATTTCATTCTTCCCATTTTGAAAAACACACAGATCTGGGGGTTTATTAGTCATAATGTAAATGATCAGTGAAGACACAAAATAATTCTACAAGACCTTTGTTTTTATCCCTTACGAATTGTTCAGCTACATTTGTAAACGTAAAGATTTTTAATTTGGCAGTTGCAATTGTGTCGTGTGAGACCCAAGGCTGTCCGGGCACTAATGGCTCATTCCTGCCTTTCTTACCCCTTCAGCTTTCAGAGCGTATGTTCTTAGATTTCTACTATAGTACAGTGGAAACTGTATTAACTGTGGTTACACAGTGGGAAAAAATGTGCTATGCTGACATGATAAAGTAATGAAGAACATGAGTGGGATCCATTACTACCAGGAAATACTGGCAAAGAGTACAGTCCCTGTTCAGTGCAGCTTCTTGATAGATTTTCAGGCTGAAGGGGTTTTGCAGATAAAAATAGGAACAAAGTTCCCGTTGTTCAGTATATGGGAGAATAACATGCCCTGTGGGACACGCAAGTTTCTAAGACTTTGATATAGACTTTTTAAAAAATACTGTTAAGTGGAAGAACTTAAATGTCTTCACATCACAGGATCTTTTTTATGATGTATGCTTTCCTGTCCCTTTTCCAGAGAATTATGGACCTGATAATTTGTCAAATTGTAAACATTGTACAGCATGTAACATTTTCATCTGGGGCTGAGGAGAAGGAAATCTTTATAAATACTGCTTATTTTAGTGTAGTCCTGGTGCTTGTCTCTCTCTTACTACTGTTGTACTTACCTGGCTGCAATGGGCTCTGTGACCAGTCAGGAAAAGTAGTCCTTCACTGCTTTTCATACAAATACGAGTTGTTTGAAAGTAGTTCATGTGTATGTCAGATTTAAGTGTTACAAATTAGACCTCAGATCTATTGCAGCTACTAAAAGGATTAATACTGGCACCGATATATTTGAGTTAATCTCTAAGGTCTTTCCGGAGAAAAACCCCAAAATTGCTAATATGTAAAGCATAAAGATTTAAAAGGCCTTAGGAAATCTGTGCTAAAATGGTGAGGAAGTCACCATAGAAACTACTCTCTGCAGTTCACTATATACACCTGGTGTAAGTAACCACCTGGTAGCAGCAAAAGGCAGTACGGTCTCAGCCAACTTCTTTGCTAATAGTGAAAACATGTATTATGCATACAGGCTTGAGCTGGTATGTAAATGCTGCGAGTTCCTCCCCATTTTATATGGGTTTATTGCTACAAATGAAGCACTTTATTTTAGTCATGCCTCTAAAATTTTTTTCTGCTTCTTTTTGTTTATGGAGACGATGCCTTTCTAATATTTTGAAAGGTTTATACAGTGCAGTAAAGGCAGTGGTTTGGCTTGTGCTCTATGTATCCAACTTTGTTCTTTGATTGTTTTTCATCATTTTATTTGGCAT